GAAATATTTTCTTTTTATTTGCAAGAATTAAAATAATACATGTTTAAATTTCATAGTTTTGAGGAATGAAATGAAACAATATGGGTGAAGTCACATTTTTAAAATTTGGCTTACAGTAGCTGAATGCCTGTACTAAAAAATGGGGGGAAAATGACCCAAACATTGTATGCACATATAAATAAAAGGAAAAAAATGGGGGAAAAAAATCACATGTCTTTGTGGTCATAGTGCACTTGAAAATGGTGTCTGAATATTTAGTCATACCTTAATTTTAACTATCCACTGTTAGGCTACCTGTTTTACTTCAAAAGAGATGGAGTTGAAGCAGTTGAGATGTTGGAACTGGAGATTTGTTAAATGTCCCACTTGGTTAAAGATAGTACAAGGGAATTTTGAACGGCCATAGTACTCTTGAATTTATGTACTGGATGTTACTCAGACTTTGCTTTGCTTGTTTTTCCTTCAAACTTTGCCTTTTGTTTATGTATTTTGAAATCTTTGTAACATTTGTGCAGTTTAAGAAGAATCTGTTTTATCTTAGTGAGCTGTCAATATTGACTACACAAGATGAACGTCTAATTATATATTAATAGTCACGTTTTGCTATTCTCTTTGATGGCTCAGAACTTTGAAAGCAAATTTTGAAGCATCAGAATTGAGTCTTAGATGGCACCACTTCAAATACTGTCTGGCATTCCAGAAGGCTGTCATTGTCCCCTTTGCTTATGTATATGCTATTCTTCCTATATTAGAAAACAGCCCTCCACAAATCCCCACCAAGAACAGTGTGAAGCGCTAGTTATTTAAAGGCACTTTAGAATGAAGTTCAATTTGAAGAATTGCTTGGGGAGTACTTTGAGATATTTTTTGTATATACCAAACAACTTTCAGAGATTATGGGTTCAATTTTTAGTTTTGCTGTCTTTTGTACAGTGTTAGGAAAAATGAAAACCATTTTTACTTAGAGGGTGGGGAAGGAAAGAGTATTTGAATCTCTGTTTTTAAAAAAAGATTTTTAGCTCTTAATACTTCAGGTCTTCGATGATAACTCTAAAAGCATTATCAGAGATTTGAGGCCTTATTGCAGATAACTAGAGGTCACCTATCTAATCCAGCTCCTTGACTCAATAGTTGTGGAAACTGAGGCCAAGACAATTTCATGTGTGTCCTGGCTCAGTGCCTAGGCTCAGATTGTTTATGGTAGAGGGCCAGGGTTTTTTTTCCTCCCCAGTGCATTATAAAATAAACAGTATTTATAAAATATATGCAAAATACAAATTAAATATTTTATGAAATACAAATAAAATATAAATACATATGAAATAAAATATAAATATATGTATACTTTACAAAATATAAAGTATTGGGAAAAATAATTTTAAGATGATATAATTCTAAATGTTTATCTTCAGTTTCAGTGCTTATCTCAATATAGACATTTTACAAATAGTTCTGTGACCAGAACAGTCCTTTGGATTCTATACTTTGTGCGCCACTGCCCAAGGTCAGAGGTTAGTGCATTCTGGCCCATACACCAAACCCAGTGCATCCTCTGTTTTCATGTGGTCTGCAAGCTAAGAATTGCTTTTATATTTTTAAGTGGTTGTTAAAAACCAAAGGAAGAATAGTTTGTGGCACATGAAAATTATATAAAATTCAAATTTCTGTGTCCTCAAGAAGTATTTTATTGGGACATAGCTATGCTCATTTAATTAATTATTGTCTGTGGGTTGGATTGCTCTATGAGTGTAGGTAGGGTTGAGGCAGGGATAAGTTGTTGAGACAGAGACCAAATGGACCACAAAGCCTAAAATACTTACTATTGGCCCATTATAGAGAAAGTTTGCTGACCTCTGCCCTAGAACAAAGCATGAAGTTAGTAGCTATTTGTAGAGTTGAGAGTACAACCAGGCTCTGCATTTTAAAATTGAGCTTAAAATATTAAATATTACCTTAAGTTTAATACCTACTAGGTATCATCAGACTTCAAGCTCAGCCCCTTTGCGTACCATTTTATGCTGTCATTTAATCCTCCCGGCAATCTTGTGATCTTCTATGAAAGGTGGATAAGTTTAGACCCCTGCTGGTCTAACATAGCTTTACTTCTAAGAGTCTTGTCTCTACTGAGTTGTGTTTTTTTAACCCAATGTGATTAATTTAAAATGGTGAAATGTTTTCTAGTATGGATTTTGTTGTCAGTATGTGATTGAGAAAAATTCAGCTGCTCTCCTGTCACCACATTCTTCTGCAGTGGATGTGCCTGTGTGTTCAAGTCCAATGAAAGAGACAGCTATGACCTCAAAATACTTAGAAAACATACACATTTCTAGCAAAACAATCACTCCTGTTAAAGTTGCCCAGAGCAAATTAAAGCTACAACTAACTGTAATGATACATTTCTGTTGCAAAATAGGAAGGTTATGTTAGGTAAAATACTGATCACAATGAGAAGGATTAAGGATTAGTTGACTTGAAAGAGCAGTCAGGCTTTCAATACTTTACTACTACTCATAAAGAACTACAAGATGAAATTTCTAGTTATGTAATTTTCACATTCAGTTAAGTATAAATATTTATTTTTTGCTTAAAGCAAGTTCTGAAGTTCTGAAAGTATGCAATAAACTCTGCTTTTCATGGTGGCTGTTTCTTTTGTTTTCTTACCCTTTACATGTGGCCATTAGAGATAGTTACCAGTTTTTGCTTGCCACTTGAGTCTGACTTGTGATTAAGGTGCTTTCTTTACAAACCAAAAGCCCTTCTTATATGATAAAAGAGTAACTACAGCTGATATGGTGGTACTCTGTTTTATTCTGCTTAACCCTGAGTCAGTTTATTAACATCTGGAAAATAATTATGTTCATTGTTTGCATTCAAGAATTAAATAATATACCATACACCCCTCTTATCTGTAGGGGATACGGTCTAAGACTCACAGAGAATCACTGGAAACTTGGATAGTAGTAAATCCTATATATGTTCTTCCCCATATACACATACCTATGATAAAGTTTAATTTATAAATTAGACATCTCTACTTAATTATGGGGCCATAATTAAGTAAAAAAAGATTACTTGGATATAAGCACTATGATGCTGGACAGTTGATCTGACAGCCCAGCTGATTGCTGGGGTGGATAGCATATCTGCTGTGGATCCACTGGACAAAGGAATGATTCACCTTCTGGATTGATGGAGTAGGGCAGTGTGAAATTTCATCATGCTACTCAATGTTTGAAACTTATTTCTTTTTTTTTATTTACTCACTTATTCATTTTTGCGGTATTGGGGTTTGAATTCTGGGCCCACCACTTGAGCCATGCCCTCAGCCCTGAATTCTTTTTGGAATTTTTCATTTACTACTATATAATATATAATAATATGCCACAGTTCAGCGTGGGTAACTGGAACTATGGAAGGTGAGGCTCCAGATAAAGAGGAAGGACCGTAGATGGTCTCTGCAAGATCTTACTGCGTCTTCTCAAGCCATGGCTAGTTTTAATATCCAAGTCTGAAAGTACCCAAGATCTAAGATGAGAAATACAAATGCTCACTTTTCTAGTAGCAGTGCCTTAATTCTGTCTATTGTGTGACCACTGTAACAAAGTCATTGACTTGATGGCTTGTGCATTAAAGGAAGAAGAGCTTTTTAAACAACAGGACTTATTACTTAGTAATATTTCAAAAGAATGTATGTACTTAGTAATTTTCCAAAATATATGTACTTAGTATGGACCTTTTATGAATGAAAATTTGGGACTCATCAGTGATAGTGGCTCAAAACTCATAATTGAACTGTAGTTTTTGAACAAATTTTTAATATACAATAGGTTGGTATTTGTGATCTGAAATGCCTGAGACCAGAAGTATTTCTGATTTCAGATGTTTTGGATTTTTGAATATTTGTATATCTATTTATATATATATATATTAAGAGATGTTTTGGAGTTGTGAACTAAGTCTGAACATGAAATTCATTTGTGTATCATATATGCTATCTACACATAACTTGAAGGTGATTTTATACAATATTTTTAGTGCAGTCGTGTTTTTTGACTGACCGTCACATGAGGTCATGTGTGGAGTTTTCCACTTGTTTTGCCAAGTAGGTACTCAGAAAGTTTCATATTTTGCACCATTTTGGGTTTTAGATTTTTGGAATGAGGATCCTCACTCCTGCTCTTCCTCCCTTCACTCTCACTCAGCACAAGTAGCTCAGAAATGTTTGGGTTATAAAATATTACATCTGACTTTTCCTTAACTAATCATTTTTTATAAGGTCTCCATATCCGAGAATTCTCTGTAGCTAGTTTCTACCCAGTATAGTGTGTGTTAATATATTCCTCAGTATATATGATGTTACGGTGATTGGGTTTCTATTTCTACATTTTTGATGGAAAGACTGTTGTAGAAGACAGAGATATTTTGCAGCATGGCTGCAGGGAACCAGAGTTACATGCATTACTGTGACTGTTAAACTTCTTGGAAGCATGCCAGTGTGTTATGGTGGGTTTCATATGTAAGTGATGAGCCACTAAAAGGCTCACACATTATAACAACTATTCTGAGGAGAGGAAGCATTTGGAAATTCAGCAGTAAAGCAGCAGCAGCAGCAACAAGCAGCCACAGTGGTAGTAAAGATAGGGCAGGTTCAGAGTTAGCATATTTCACAGTGAGTCAGTGAGCACATAGCTTCCCAGGCTACTGCCTGAAGGAGGCAAAGCAAAACTGTACATTGCAAGATTTTTCTAGTTTCATGTTTATGATGTCAAGTCATGTGATAATACTGTACCATAAGTTGCCAACTTCACTTTACTGTGGAGAAGAGCTTTTGCTGCAGTGCTTCCCCCCCTTTTTCCTTTTCTTTCTTTCTTTTTTTTTTTTGAAAGAGAAAAAAAATTGTGCAATGTACGTTTATGCCTACACCATGCCAAGGCGACACTTACCAGTAAATAATCTCTGTATCCCCGAGGTAAGATACTGTTTCTGCTTTCCCTGCACAGTGCTGCTGCAGCACGGAGCTGATCCAAACATTCGGAACACTGATGGGAAATCAGCCCTGGACTTGGCAGATCCTTCAGCAAAAGCTGTCCTCACAGGTAAGAAAGCAGAGAGAGAGCTACCAAATTATTTTATCTGTGGAATTACAAGCTTGATTTTTATAAAATTCACATGCACTGAATATTTTTCACAACTGTAGCTAAAAAATATATATGCCATTATTAGTTTATTATTGATTGGATATCTGACTTATTAATTGCTCTGCTGTCATAAGCATAAGCAGTAAAATTGCTTATATTACTTGGACTTATAGCAATAGATCATAATATATTATTCACTCATATTTTTATCATTTTTATGGTTTATATCACATTTTCCTATACCTCATCTTCTCAGTTGTTTCTTTTTTAAGACCTTCACAATTGAGCAAGCAAGGGCATTTGTATTACTATAGAAGTAGTTTTGATTGTAAAGACAACCTGCTGCCTTATTACTTGGGTTGATCAGTGAAATACGCTGCTGCTTCCCCCTTGCCATCCTGTTTATATTTTTATCATATATCTTCATTTTTTACCATGACCGCCAAGTTATTTTTAACTGGGGCAGTGTATTATCTTTCTTCAGGTAATGCAGATTTTTTACTTAAGTACTCGTTTTACTAAATCAGATGTGAAGAACCAGTGAAGAAAAAAACGTTAGAATAGAAAGGACCTCTCATAACCATGCACAAAATAACGTTATAACTGATAGGATCTTGAGCAACTGTTTTCATTGATCTTCATTCTCAAAGTGCTGCATTAGATCTATTTTTGTTTTTATTCCTAGCATTTGAGTCCTGCTACCTTTTGCCCTCTTTTGCTTAACTGACCTTTGTAATTTGGAGCTTTTGGCACTGCAGTGCTAACAGTATTGTTTTAGGTTGTGTGAAAGAAATGACTTAACTACCTTCCACATTTACCCTGTTTGAAGAAAATAAATCTTGTGTTCTCATTTAAGTTTTAGAATCCACGCTGTGCATTTCTGACAAAGATTCTGAGATGAATGGAAGATGTTTAAGTACAGAACACTTTGAGAAAATGTGGAATTTTTCTTAATTAGTCTTCATGAAAAGATAACTTCTTACTGTGCTAAAATTAATATAATCACTGCTAAAACAAAGTAATATAAATTTCAATTAATAAAAGGTTGGAAGATTGAGTTGCTGAATCAAGAAAACATAAACCAGAGAAATAAAGCTGTTCAAATCAGTGTAGATAAGAAATTCAAATATAAATACAGTTTTTTAAAATTAAAAAAAATACATAGTCTTAGGCCTGCTTAGATTCTGCAGCCTTTCAGTCTCTTCTTTTAACAAAGCCATGAACAACAATCACAGTTTTTGCATGATCTCTGATCAAAGGAAAAATACAGTTTATAAAAGCAGTTGTACAGTACATTATAAATGCCAAGCAAGACTTTCTGTATATTTCAGTGTCCTCCTTCTGACCTTCCTTCTCTCCAACTCTCAAGGCATGTCTATCCATTGTTACATTCATTTAGTGCACCGTTGCTTTTATATCCACTTTTGCTTTTTTAAAAGACAAAGTTAGAATACATGTTACTAACAATAAAAAATTGTCTCCTAATTTGTGGGGAATTTGATGGAAGATTATCTGGGAGAGATCTTTGGCTTAAACACTTATCAAGACTGAAGATTCATGAAGAACAGATACCACGTCTAAAGAAATAGTTTTGAAAACCATCTAGCATTGTACTTAGATAGGAAGATATTAAATACTTCTTGGTCATAATACTAATTTCATTAATTATCCTTTTCAAAAATACATACTTTTTTTGGAAATGGTAAACAACTTTTCAGGTATCATTTAAAAGAAAAAGTCTAATAGTAGTTTTGTTGGAAACATAAACTAGTTCTACTTATACATTCATGTTATATAATACAGTGAAGTAACACTTAAGTGAACTGTATTCCAAAGTGCTTTTCTGCCCATATAGGTATTTTACTAAGCAATTCTTATAAAGTTATTTGTAAATTACAAATAACTTACAAATAAAGTTATTATTTCTAAAGTTAAATTTAAAAAGATTAAGTATTGATTTTTAAAAAGGGAGGTGGGTTGGGGAAGTAGCTAGTTGGCCTGACAGGTGAAAGTTTAGGCTTCTGGGTTTCTCACTAAAGCCTGGTAAGAGTGCAAGTCTGTGTTCATTTGAGGAGAATGGATATTGTGCAAAGCTTGTCTGTCTTGGTAGATTCTGCTTTTCCTACTTCTTTGATTAGAGAGAGTTGGCTTTTTTGAGGTCTCTTGATATTTTTAGGTTACCAGTTTCTTTAGCTCTTAAGTTTGTCATATATGGGCAAAAATAACTTAGGAACTGATCACTGTATCATTCCTTGGCTATATAGGTTCCTCCTTGGTCTACGTTCTTCTTTACACCTTTGAGAGTCCTTTTATGTTTGTTTTATGTATAATGTCCAGATTTTTTAGATATGCTCAGTAAGAGGAATAAGGAAAAATATATCTACTCTTTTCCCAGAAGTCTTAAAATTATTACTTTAATTGGAGGTACTAAGGTTTGAACTCAGGGCCTTGTACTTGCTAGATAGGTGCTTTGCCATTTGTTCCACACCTACAACCCTTATTGCTTTAGTTATTTTTCAGATAGAGTCTTGTGTTTTTGCCTGGACTGGCCTGGATCTCCTCATTATGTCTCCTGCATAGCTGGGATGACACACCAGTTTGGTTGAGATGGGATCTAATGAACTTTTAGCCTTGAATTGCGATTCTCTTAATCTCTGCCTCTGATGGGATTACATGCATAGACACCCACTCTTAAAATTATTTTTAATCACCATTACTATAGAGAATCAGTCGTTACTCTTAAAGACACTATGAGGATTTAAGCATTGTGTCAAATTGCTTGAACAGTAGTAATTTTTGTGGCATACCTGCTTTTCTAAATCTATCTGCCAATTAGAGGCTGAGATTTAAGCAACACAGGACTACTCACATAGTAGTACACAGAATATAACTGTTGAATGGGTTAGTTTTAAAAACTGAATAAAAAGAAAAATTATAATTTCAGTATTTACAGTTGAAATTAATGATTGTAACTAAAGATAGAAGTTGTCACTAGCTTGCTGCTTTATCAACTCGTAGCTGGAGAAGTCATAGTGTTCCTTTTCTTTACCTGCTTTTTATGCTGTTCATTAATTCCATTTACTCGTTGGCTCAGCTCTAAGATTGGAATAGCCCATTAGCAAGTATTTTCCTACTTTATCTAATGTAGAATTGTTTTTCAAAAACCTTAAGAAGGCACTGAACATATGGCATGAAACTTTTATTATCTTCAAAAAAAGATGCTATTGAGTGATAGAATTAAGGGAATAGTAACAATCATTTAGGATTAAGGAAACACCATAATTAAGGTAACTGGCTTAGTGTTGGAGAACTTAAAACAGTGGAATTTTTGCCGAATACCATTGTTTCCTGCTATGCTTTTGCTTTGCTGTACACAGTATCAGTGTTGCTGTATTATGTTATTCACTCATAAGAGCAGGATGTGATGCAAAAGATGTATTGACCTAAAATAAAAACTTCCTTCAAACAGATGCTTACTTTTATATAAGCCTGATATTTCCAGCAGAACTGTCCTTACACCTGCATGTAATACCTTGCAGCATGCTATTTAAGCAGATATCAATGAGGAATGTTCTCCTGAAAGGCTAAATTATGAGCATTTGCTTAAGGAGTGGTTTAGTGAAGCGTTAGAGTAGAAAGAAGAATTATTGGTGATCCTAGGACATACAGTGCTCTTCTTAACTCTTTCTCTACTATAGAGAAGATGTCACTAGTAGCAAGTTTCAACTAAACAGGGTAGAGGTAAAATTGCTAGAAGAGGCAGTAGTTGACTTTAAAGGAAATGAGTATGTGTACTGTATGGTTCTTGTTTTTCAGACACTGTTCTAGTACTTTGTTAGGTTCCATATGAAATCTACTTTAAGTTTTATGAAACTGCAAGAAATCATCTTTTTCTTTAAGGTTTTTGAGTTTTGTGTTAATTGTAGAAAGTGCATAGGGTATACCACAATTTATATAAAATAACCCTTCTAGTGTTTCAATGGTTTCATAGTTTACATCTAATATTCTTATCCACCAGGAATGTATTTTGGCAGATAGTAAAATTCCACATTTATTACTTAAGAAACATATTCTTGGGTCTGTTCTGCTCTATTGATCTGTTAATACTGGTATCAACTTGATTTAAATAATTTTTAAGTTTCAATGCCAATAGGACAGTTCTTAAAAAAATAGAAGCCAGAAAAAAAATTTTAAATCACTAAGTGGTTTATTTAATTCACCTCTTTAAAAAGCATTTTACTTAAACTAAGATTCAAGCTTTTAATCTGGCCCCACTTATCTATCTAACTGCACTTTTTTTCTTTTATTATTCATATGTGCATACAAGGCTTGGGTCATTTCTCCCCCCTGCCCCCACCCCCTCCTTACCCCCACTCCGCCCCTCCTTCTTCCCCCACCCCCTCAATACCCAGCAGAAACTATTTTGGCCCTTATTTCTAATTTTGTTGTAGAGAGAGTATAAGCAATAATAGGAAGGAACCAAGGTTTTTGCTGGTTGAGTAGATAAGATAGCTATACAGGGCATTGACTCACATTGATTTTCCTGTGCGTGTGTGTTACCTTCTAGGTTAATTCTTTTGATCTAACCTTTTCGCTAGGTTCCTGTCCCCTTTTCCTATTGGCCCAGGTTTAAAGTATCTGCTTTAGTTTCTCTGTGTTAGGACAACAAATGCTAGCTCTTTTTTAGGTGTCTTACCTATCCTCAACCCTCCCTTGTGTGCTCTTCGCTTTTTTCATGTGCTCAAAGTCCCAATCCCTTGTTGTGTTGGCCCTTGATCTAATGTCCCACGTATGAGGGAGAACATACGATTTTGGTCTTTTGGGCGAGGCTAACCTCATTCAGAATGATGTTCTCCAATTCCATCCATTTTACCAGCGAATGATAACATTTCGTTCTTCTTCATGGCTTCTTAAATTCCATTGTGTATAGATACCACATTTTTCTTAATCCATTCGTCGGTGGTGGGGCATCTTGGCTGTAATCCGCAAGTGCAGGTGTGGTGTGTAAGTCTTTTGGGTATATCCCAAGAGTGGTATTGCGGATTGTCTAGCTTTTTAAGTAGCCTCCAAA